GGAAGGTGTACATCTGCTGAGGTTTCATGAGCTACTCCATTGTGTCCTGATGGATTAAAATAAATCAAACTCCATAGAGATACCAGTGAGTAGCCACTATTTCATCTATTTTGATGGCCAGGCTACAGGATTATAAAATATGTTGTGACAATTCCATGTGGATTTGCCCAGGAATAAAAGATTGTTATTATTATTATTTTTTGGCAATGTGGATTTTACTTTTAATATCTTACTCAAAAACTGTCAGGAAAATGGATCATAAAATGACTAGATGGGAAAGTACATTCCCCCCAGCTTTATTGAGATGTAATTGACATATAACATTGTCACAGTGTAAGGGGTGTATGTTGGGGTCTCTGGGCAGAGTCCCACGAAGGGCAGAGAAGTTGGTTGCTCATCCTGCCCTTCTTCTCCTGGTGAGAGGAACTCTCCCCAGCTAGAAGTGTTTTCTTGGAGCTGAGCAGTGTAGGCTTGGGGAACGGGACGATGCATCAGATGAAGTTATCTGGGTCTTTGTTTGGTTTTTGCTCCATGGTGTTGCTGAACCTTCCTAAGTGGACTCCAGCGGTCTCCTAGAGGTGATCTTATTCATGACATCTGTCCCATCAGTGCTTTTGTTGGAGGACATGGAAGCTGGAGTCTCCTGTTCTCTTTTTTTGCACCCTCTAAACTAAGATTAGCGTTTGGAATACTTCAACAACGCCTTTGACATTTTCTATGTCTCCTAAATGTCTTATAACCACTCAAGGTTTTAAGTAAATACTTTAACAAAATGATAATTGAAGAAGAAGAAAACAGTTTCAAAAGTTTCCTGAGGTTTTATTTTGGTAAGAAAGTGGACTCAAGTCCTGGCCGGTTTGGCTCAGTGGTTAGAGAGTCGGCCTGCGGTCCAGAGAGACCCAGGTTAGGTTCCCGCTAAGGGCATGTACCTCGGCTGCAGTTTGTCCCCGGCCCTGGTTGGGTTGTGAGGGTGGCAGCCACTCGATGTGTCCCTTTCACGTCGATGTTTCTCTCTCTCTCTCTCTCTCTCTCTCCCACTCTATCTGAACAAAATATCAAAAAGGAAAGAAAGAAAGAAAGAAAGAAAGAAAGAAAGAAAGAAAGAAAGAAAGAAAGAAAGAAAGAAAGCTCATGAGCACCGTTAGGAAAAATGTATGCTGAAAAGATGGTGATAAAGACACTCATTTGTGCCAACATGACTCAAATACCCCTGATTTGAACCGTCTACCTCGTGAAACTCATGATTTTTATTCAAATATTTACTAATAGTATTTATCATTAAAATTTTTACTTTATATACTGCATTCAATAAAAATGCTTTACTTGCCTCACTAAGTGGTATGCAATTTTCCTGCAGACTAAAGAATAATAAAAAAAAGCTATCTTTACGCTATAATGTTTAAAACAGTGCCTAGTGTATACACTCAATATCACCTTGTGACAGTGATTAATTTTTTTGAATCATTTGACCAAGAACTAGAATATCAATAGAATATCAGGTTATAATTGATACAATTCTGGTTTTGAAAGAGACTTAGATATTATTTAGTATAAAGACTTCATTGATATCAAGATAGTTTTGATTAATTGATCCTACAGTTGTTTTTTTAATCCACACCCAAGGATATTTTTCCATTTATCTTCAGATAGAGTGGGAGGGAGGTAAGGGGGGGGGGAGAGAAAGAGAGAGAGAGAGAGAGACATCGATGTGAGAGAGACACATCAATTGGTTGCCTCCTGCATGACCCTGACCAGGCTGGGAACCAAACTGCAACTAAGGTACGTGCCCTTGACCAGAATCGAACCCAAGACCCTTTGGTCCACAGGCTGATGCTCTAACCACTGAGAAAACCGGCCAGGGCTGATTCCACAATGTTTTATTGATTACCTGCTATGTGCTAGGTGCTCTTCGAGGTAATGTGATGTCATCATAACCAAACATGTAAGCCTGGCTTCACCGTAGTTATATAGAAAGTTTACTGGGACTGTGAAGTTTATTAAACTGTTCTGAGTTTCCTGCTTTGGATTTGCCTTTTGAATATTTCTCACATTTATCGCATACATTTTTTCTTCCACTAGTAACTTAGTTTGGACCTTCATTTTAGCTGTTATCAAAACAGTTATAAAATATTTTGATAACATTTATTTTTGTGTTATTTGCTCGAGTTAATTACCAGTTTTCCAGAATAATCTTACTAAATCATAAATTTGATCTTGTCTACCCTTTGCTTAAAAATCTTTACCCAGCCCTGGCCGGTTTGGCTCAGCGGTTGGAGCGTCGGCCTGCGGTCCAGAGAGACCCAGGTTCGGTTCCCGCTAAGGGCAGGTACCTCGGTTGCAGTTTGTCCCCAGCCCCGATTGGGTCGTGTGGGTGGCAACCACTCGATGTGTCCCTTTCTCATCGATGTTTCTCTCTCTCTCTCTCCCTCCCACTCTATCTGAACAAAATATCAAAAAAATGTCCTCAGGTGAGGATAAAAAAAAAAAAAAAAAAATCTTTGCCCATCTTTTCCCATAGAAAAGGCTCCACCATGATATTTAAGGCTTTTCATGATTTAAAACCAGGGTGCTCTCACAGACATGCCTCGGGTGTTCCCCGCCGCCAGCTACGTAACTGTGTTTCTCCTGTACATCTTGAATCTTTCTGCCTCCAGGGTTTGCTTTGCTTTTACCGGTGTTAGCATATCTCCCCTCATCCCTGATTCATTTCTAGCTCCTGTTCTGTTTTCAACCATGTCTTTGATCTTATTTTCTAATTGATTATGCTTATTTGCATACATATATTTTCCCACTTTTACTGGATCTAAAATTCTGGGAGCAATGATTGTGATTTTGTTTCAAATTTCTAAATCTTCCTTCGGAATTGCAATAACGGGCAGCCCAGTGGGTAAGTGTTTGGCGCTGTGAGTGCGGTTAGAGGAGAGAGCAGAGTGGAGTCCCCCGCCTGGCCCCAGGGCCAGAAAGGCAATGGGAAGCCTGGCATCTGATGCAAGAGCCTGTCACTAGGCAACCAAGACTCTGCCCTATCTGAAGGGAAGGAGGGTGACACCCGAGAGAGTGGGAAGGGGACACAGCAAGCCTTTACTGCCCACCTTATTATTTTGTTTGGAAAGAACAGACATTCAATGATCAGTATGTGATAATGCATTCTATAGTTTTTCCCTAGCTGATGTAAGTCTAGAACGGCAAAGGATAGCAGCCTGCATTTCTGTTTATATTTGTGAATTCAGTGCCTTCAGTGAATATTTATAGGGTGGTAATGACTAAAATAATATATTTTTTAAAACCAGGCACTTCTCTTTTGGTGCCTAGGGTGGGTTTGGTGATAAAACTCAGCAGTTATTTATTCTACTTGAACAAAATAGACTCTGAAGTTCCTTATTAGAACTTACTGTCAAAAGTTTTGAATGTTTAAAACATTGAATTCATTGGAATGTAGCACACACAGACACACTGACACACACACACACACACTTTGTTTTCTTCATGAAAAAATCAATAAATATTCTACTTTCATTTAAGTCAGGAAACAGGCTGAAGGAAAATAAAAAAAAATGTATTTTAAATTTTAAAAATTATGAATAATTTCTGAGAATGAGTATTTTCCTTTCCCATCGACAACTTGGGGAAACTGTGCCCCAACACACATGTTCCTGGCTTTGAGAGGCCTCTTCAAGTTCCTCATCACTTGCATGATGAGTGGGAGGGATACAGAGATGACATGTTTCTCCCGAGCGTGTGGGACTGGAGGCAGGGGAATGGTACCCAGTGGTAAGACAAGCAGTTGGCCAAGTGAGCCAGGGAGCCCCGGGCTGGTCATCAAACTCTGTAAACAGTGTCGATTGTCAGGTACGTCCTTTCTAGGGTTCTTCCAAGGCCTTGGCTAGGCTCCAGGTAAACACTTAGGAGCCTCCGTGGTTAAAATTGAACGTTTCCAATGAGCCACCCCCGGGTCTCCAAACAGGAGGCTTACTTATACACATGATAAACCATAAGGATCCAGTCCTTTCTACCCCTTTCCTGGTTTAATCCATTAAGCAGAACACAAACAGCATCGTGTCCACCTGAGGGCACGCCGCGTGGAGTTGCTCACGCCGGATCCTCCGGGAGGGGGGCACAGTGATATCTCAGAAGTTCCCTCATCCGGCAGCTATATTCACGTGCCTACAAATGATCTCCGAGGTGTTTCTTCCTTTGTTGCAAGGCAGGGAAAGCTTATTCATGTGCAGTTTTGTATTTTTATCTCAGTTCTTGACGATCAAGCTGGATCATTTGGAAATTTCCTCGACAATCTGAGTTTTTTTCACACATTTTACACATGTAATCATTAATTTTCCACCTTCTGTCACTACGGGGGTGTTTATTCCTAGAGATGGGCTGCTAATCAATAGAGCAGATTCTTACAGTTTCTGTGTAGTTTTTTCTGGTCCACCTCAACTATGTTTTTTTAAAGGTTAACTGTGACATTCGAGAAACATTTTGAGCAGATAGAAATATCCGTGGCGTGGAGTCATTCAGATCTGGTATTGGAACGTTACATTGAGAACCTACGCGTGCAAGAGTCAGGAAATTGCAAAGTGAAAATTTCCATAGTAAACGTGAATTTACCGACAGTAGAAAGATGTGAGATTAAAAGTCCATCATAGGCACCTGAACAGAGAACTGTTTATAGCGTGTATGCACTTGTACAGTTAAAGACATATCGTGTGATACCCAGTGCTTTCCACACTTCACAGTTTCACAATGGTTATGCTTTATAAATAAATCATGGCAGCCCTGAAAGATGGGGGGGAGGGGAAGAGAGTAACCAAAGAACATATATGCATGTATGCATAGCCCATGAGCACAGACAATAGTGTGGTGAAGGCCTGGGGTGGGGCAGGGGCTGGGTGGAGGGGGGGCAAATGGGTGGACAATGGGGGACACCTGCAATACTGTCCACAATTAATAAAAATAAATAGTAAAGACTGGAAATATTGCACTCATGGTCGTACACCTACCTGACTCTCAATATCGTGTGCCTGACTTCGAAACGCTTTTCTGCCGGCATTACGGTACTGAGCTCTTGTGACTCGTCTAATCAGATGTAGTCCTCACCCCACACAGCTCACTGCGAATTTGGCTAGCTTTAGCAAGCCATCTGCTCAGCACCACCCCAGCAGGAGGTCTCAGGGAGGACTTGGCCACAGCTACGTTTCCCTCGAAAAGTTCTGAGACCTTCACAAATGGTCTAATAATTACTTAAAACAAGACTGCTCTTTCAAAAAGCGTTTTATTATTTTAATATTTAATTTTTATTTGTCCTTGAAAATTCATGCAGTGACATTTACTGTCACTTCTTCCTGAGTTGTTTATGTAATATGTAATTTAACATGTAATTATGTATTTTCCAGATATACATATACACGTATATATATAATCCCAAGGCCATGGTCAAGCTAACTAACACATTCTTTTTTATTTTAAGGAAGTTGAAAAATAGACATGGATGTTCTTCAACTAGTTGTGTCACGTGGCTTCATAGAACAAGATAAATGTTATTTCTTCACCAGGTAAGAACTATTATAACATCTTTGTCCTGTCATTTGAGTTTTTCACTTTTTAAAAATCCATCCCCTCCATACACATATTTATTGTTTCTCCTCTCACGTCGCAGTCAGGATTTTCTAATAGGATATATTGATTCTGATTCTTTTCACAATTACTTATTCTTTATTATATTTTCAAATTTTACTCATGACTTGCTAAAAATTATTTAAAGTTGTATCTGTTCATAAACTCACAATGTTTCTCCACTGACTGTTATTTCTCTTGACATAGTATGATTTCATGTTAAATATTTAAAGTAGATCTTAATATGAGGTAGGTTGCATTCACCTCATCACTTCTATCTTTTTTTTCTCCAACATAGTAGTTTTATTTGTCTTCAGAATAAAATTTTATATTCTTGTCTGCTTATATATCCTTATGAATTTAGAAATATTTCACACACTTTATTTAAAACTGGGATTTTAATTTGAAATATGTTAAATTCATAAACTAACTTGGCAAGATCAGATATTTTCATAACAATCAGTATTTCTAGCTAAGAATATAGTATATATATCAATTTATTAACCTTTTATTTTAAATTTTTCTATGAGCATTTGTAACTTTCTTAATTTCTCCTAATCTAGTCCTCATGAAGTTTATATCTAAATAGAAGACTATCACTTACTAATAAAAAATTTATTATTTTTTCAATATTTTTTACTGTGGCAATGGCTAGTAAATAAGATATATTTAGTTTTATTTATTAATGACATATTCATGTATTCTCTTAACCTATTTAATTAATTCTTTGTTTCAGTTTATCTTGTCAATTTCCTTGTCATAGATGTACTGTTAAAGGCGTTATTATCAGAATACCAAGGTATTACTCTACTGGCGTTAAAGCAAGACGTAGACCTGAGGAAAACATTCCTTGGGTTGCTCACACTTAGTACTCGGAGCAGGTCCAAGTGAGCAGACAGCGGAGAGGTCTCCATGTTAGGGTATTTTTATTAACATGCTTTCCGTTACTCATATGTATAAAATGTTATTTTTCCTATTGGCTAGAAATGAAAAATATTAGATTTCATGGGTTTTTGTATTCTCATAAACATGTACACTGTTGTAGAAATCATAGTAATTCATCTTCAGGGCTGTGGATGGTTTTGGGCTCTGTCTCCTCGATCTCATATTATAACACGAAGAACAGTTACCATGGACTCCGCATGATCAGCACGCAGAGCGTCTCTCACAGCGACGGCCGCGTGGCCGGTTGTAGGACAAACGTGTGCGCAGTCGCCTGTGCTCCTCCCCGCCGGTTGTAGGACAAACGTGTGCGCAGTTGCCTGTGCTCCTCACCGCGACGTGAATGCATGCGCGTGGGTACGTGCTGCCCAGTTCCTTCTCGCTCTCTCATCTCTCGCTCCTCCATGGTCTGCGTGACGTGTCTGACTCCGCAGTGCCGCGGGGGCAGCGCCAGGCGCTGGGCGCGGGCCTCCCCCCGAGACCGAGCCGGCCCCGTGGAACCTGTGCGCCGAGCGCGGGCACGTTCCTGGTGGTGAGGCGGGCATCGCACCGCGGACGGCGGACGCACACTTCGGGGATGTTTTGGAGATTATATCCACCTAAACGGTGACTGTGCAACTTGGAGGCCGGCTTAGCGAGACTGTCGTGGATTCGAGCGGTCCCAGGAGAAACACGCGTGGACGTTGTGAAGAGGGGGGCGTCGCTTTCCGAAGGTCGTGGGGTCAGAGAAGCCTCAGACACGCATGGTTGGTCTGTGGGTCTGTCTGTCTTCAGTTCATTGTCCGGTTGGTTTGCCCAGATGCTGGCCCTGCTAATATGGCCCAAGGCCCCCCGCCTGATGCTGACTGAGGGCTTGCAGGCAGCTCTGGTCCCACCTGGCCCCCAACCCGTGCCTGGCTGTCAGTGTGCTCTGCGCTCCCACTGTGCCAGTGCGTCGCCATCGATGCTTCTTCTCTCATTACACACCAGCTCCAGACCCCACTTCCCTGCATCTCCCACACTTGTGCAAGGTGCATTTCCTGTAGTCAGTTTCTAATGCCATCAATCATATTCGCTCTACTGATGAAAACTTAACTAATATATTCAGTGGCATCATTTTGTTTTTAGTCTTCACCCGAGGGCATTTTCATTTATCTTCAGATAGAGTGGGAGGGAGATGGGGGGAAAAGAGAGGGAAACATCAATATGAGAGAGACACATGGAGTGGTTGCTACCTCACAACCCCAACCAGGGCCAGGAACAAACTGCAACGGAGGTATGTGCCCTTAGCGGGAACTGAACCCGGGACTCTCTGGTCAGGGGGCCAATGTTCTAACTGCTGAGCCAAACCAGCCAGGGCCAGTGACATAATTTTTTAAAAAATCTCTCTTAATTTAGCTTCACTTATAGAGTCAGCTTGGTCTTCTTAAATTCTTACCTTATTTTTTCATTTAATTTATTAAAATGTATAATTTTAAATGCATATATTTTTACTCTGTTTCTGAAAATTCTACTATCTGTAGCATGCAATTGCCTTCTAATCGGTCACATCAAAGCATACCATTGTCCTCACCTATGATTTAGAAAGTCAGTCTTCAACGGACCAGAAACATTCCCCCATCCCAGGTCTTTCTGCAGGTAACAGCTCATATTTGAAAGTCAGCCAACCTGGGCTTGTTGAGAGGATGCTTTGATTTGTTCTAAACAAAGCTGTAAACTAGAATTAACCGAGAAGTTACTAGAGTGGACTGAGAAGTACCTGCTTGGCAAGCTGAATTCTCCTTGTTACCCAGCAAGGTAGGGTGTTCAACCCAAATTAGGCGGCAGTTTTTGAAAGAGAATTCAAAATCTTTCATGTGTCGAACGCCTCAAACTTGTGAAGCCAAACATAGCAAGTCAAGCTCAGATCCAGTGGCCTCTGCATTAGTTCACAAGACCCCAGAGCGGTCTCTGTGCTGGCCTCCCTGCCGAGGGACACCTGTGTCCTAGCCTCTCTGAGCATCTTCCCGCTGCTCAGAGAGAAAGCCCGTTCCTGGTACCATTTGTCCTCCACCGCCTTGAAACGCGTCGGCGGTCACACCGTGGCCCCTCACACCTTGCCTTAGCAAGCCCCGAGAAGTGACCCGCCGTACTGCAGCTGGCCGTCGCCCCTGCCTGCTTGTGAACCTGATCTTCCGTGTTGCTCGTCCTGGAAAATCCTACTTATTTTTTGGTCAACACATCCTCGCTTCCAAGAGGTGTCTCCTAATGCCCATCATTATAATTTATAAGTACATTGTCAAGACCTGCTAGGAATATAATAAGCAATTGAATAAAATATTGTCATTAATTGCCTATAAGCCTGTCTCCTCCACTAGGTTTTAAGCCTTTGAGTCACAGAGAGTATTCAATCTCCAGTGGCTGGCGGGGTCCGCTGCCTGAGGCTGGGCTAACATTCAGGCAAAGCGCGTGCTCCGCTTTTGCAAAGAATCACGTGCTGAGGCTCAGTCTATCATTTCATTAAGTCTCTACAAGTCCTCATCTGTCCATGCATGTTGGATACTTTAGTAGCGGTACCTGAAAGTGTTAGAATTGGCCTAGATACTTTGCGGAGCTTAGGATCTCAGCATCGGCAGGGGGCTGATGTTCATCTAGTAAAATTACCTGTGTGATCATTAGAGAGTCTCTGGAGCTGTTTCTTCCTTCCTTCGTTTTTTAATAATAATGAAATTGAAAACGTATCTCATGATATCAGGGAGATAGAACGGAAGACCTGCATTGGCTGGAATGGGATACATTTGAATAATCACTCCCGTAAGTAACAGTAGAATGGGGCTAGCCCATTCCAGAGAAACATATTTTACAAGCATAGCGTCTAAAGTTAGACACGAGCTGAAAACTTGAATTCCTTATCTTGGGATCGCCTTGAGCTCTGGCATAATCTAACTTCCTAAAAGCCATTTCTAGGGTAAATTTAGAAGCAGGGCAAGAGATTCAAATACATCCTTCCGTACATGGGCACAGATCACATGGCCACTTCAGTGGGAGAGACTCTCAAATAGGGTCCGCAGATGTACTCCCCAGCACTGCAACAACTCAGTGGTTTGGATTTTTGAAATTCAGATTTCAGTCATTTGATAAATTTGGAATCCACAAGTTTCTGCCAACACTAAAACACTCTCCTTGTGAAGGGCAGTGTAAATGTCCATAACCCCGGTCTGGGTACATGTGATTAGTATTGCGAATTCTGCCGGGAGTTTGTCTAAAAGTGGAGTCACGCGGCTAATTTTGTAACTGAAAAGACATTCCCAAATCATCTTTAAATGAAATTGCAAAAAAAAAAAAAAAAGAGAGAGAGAGAGAGAGAACTTGGCTTCAACTTTAATTAGAGTCAAGCCTTTCTTTCCCCTCAGGACCAGCAGCTCATTAAAACGCATTTCCAAACCACGTACACGAGCGTGTGACGGCGTGGGTCTCCCAGGGACTTTCCGATTGCTGGGCGTCCGCTGAACGGCGGTGGCTTTGCGGACAGTTCAC